GCCGGTCCGCTCACCGTGTGTCCGGGAGACCCCGAGTGTCCCCGTCAGAGAAGGAGCGCGTCCTCAGCCCGGGCAGACGGGCGGGGGCAGGGAGCCCACTGGAGCAGGCCGCGGTGGACACAGGGGTCCCGACCGTCCCCACAGCACCCTCTGAGGCCCGAGTACCGGTCCCCGTTCCTGCAGACCGCCCAGTTCCTCTTCAGCCACCTCTACTTTGAATACCTGGGGAACGTCATCGCCCTTGGCAACCTGGTGGCCATTTGTGTGAGTGTGGGGTGCGGGGGTGCCCTTCTGCCCGCCGCTTCGGTGCCCGCCTGCCACGCCCTCCGCTCTGGCCCCGCAGGGCTTTCTGGTGAGGGACGCGGAAGTGCCGCCTGCTGACCGAGACGACTTCGTCCTGGGGGTGAGCGCCGGGCCTCCTGCCGAGGGGGCCGAGGCCCTCGGGTGTCCCTCCCGGGGCTGGGGTGGGGCCCCGGGGGCTGGCCGGCCCGTTGGGGGAGTCTGCGCTGTTTCCGGGGCTCGGGGGTGTCCGCCAGGACCTCTGGGTCAGGGAGCAGGTGCAGGCGGGCGTGGGGTGCACTGAGGTCACTCAGGTCACCGAGGACAAGTGTGGGCAAGAAGCGGGGCCCTGGGACCGGGTGTGGGGGCTGGGCGAGGAGGGGCGACGGCGCCAGACCTGTGCCCTGCAGGTGCTCAACTGCGGCTTCGTCCTGTATTACCTGCTGGAGGCGCTGCTCAAGGTGCTCGCCCTGGGCCCGCGGGGCTACCTGTCCTACCCCAGTAACCTGTTTGACGGGCTCCTCACCCTCGTCCTTCTGGTGAGCCCAGAGGGCCGGGCCAGCCTTCAGCGTGCGCACCCCGGGGCCCTGCGCTGGGCTGGACTCGGGCTCCCGCCTCCAGGGACACGGGGCTGGTGGCGCTCGGGGCGGCTGCGGGCTGCGGGAGACGGGATGGGCTGCCCCGAGCGTGTGGGGCAGGCCGGGCACCGCAGCCCTCGCCGGCTCACGGCTCACAGCAGGACCTGGGTGCGGTGGGCAGGGCGGGGTCCTGGGGCAGCTGGTGGGGCTCCCCGTGTCGGGGGTCGCAGGTGCCATTCGGGGCCGTGGCGACGTCGGGGGCCGGCGCGGGGGCCCTGGGATCCCTGTGCGCGGCCCCGGTCCGAGTCTAGGGTGCCGGGCTGGCCGCCCTGCCCGCTGGCCTCGCCTCTGGCTGCCGTCCCCTCGCGGCCCGGCTGAGCGGCGCCGTCTCCCCTCTGGCGCCTGCAGGTCTTGGAGGTCTCCACGCTGGCTGTGTACGGCTTCCCTCACCCAGGCTGGTACGTGACGGGCGAGGCCCAGCAGGGTCTCTGGGAGCGGCGCTCTTGCGGGGTTCTGGTGGGCAGGGCGTCCCTGCCGGGGCTGTGAGTAC